ATGTTATTTAAATACTTCCCTTAGAATTTCAGTGATTTCATTTGTAGAAGATTTACAGTGGCTGCTCTGAAAAATTTCAGTCTATTGCAATTCAAATACTGCCATGTTTAATAAAGTTTAAAAGGCTTATGTTTTATATATATTTAACTAAAACTCACAATTATAACTTCTGACTTGACTGAAGTAAAATCGTTCCATATAAGAAAAATATATTCTCTCTAAATAGAATGTGCAGAAATAGCATTTAAAGATTTATTACAGAAACAAATGACACATAATTAAAATAAGCATGTTTTCCAGGAAAAAAGGTCCCCAGCAAGCCTCAAAACCGTGACTCTACTTTTGGACTTGTCTGGTCTAACATCTATACAAAGAATCTAAAGTGTTTTGGGTGATGCAATCCTTTATTTTAGTGATCATGATGATATGCCAAATCAAAGGGCACTCAGAAGAGTGATTGTCCTAAGAGAGGCAGTGTCCCCGGAGAACAATGACCTGGCTTAACCTAAGTCCCAAGTTGCTACCATCATGCCCATCAATTATGTGTGTCCCTTACTGGGAGGATCAGCCATGCCATCTGCTCATTCTACTTGTACATGTGAGCCTAGGCTGTTTATTCCAAGGTAGCTATTAATGGGGCAGCCGCTGGGAACATTCCAAAGTGACAATTTTGGTTGTTGCCCTTCTGGGCCCCTGGGAATCTTGGAATAGTCCTTTCTGCATGCACTCCAAAGTGACAACCAAAATCAAAACCAAAACTATTCCTGCCAGCATTTTAATTAGGAAATTAAGGAGGCCTAATCTCCCTGAAAGATCAACTTGCAAGATTTTTTTTTCACTCTAAGTAAAAGTCAGATTTCAAAAGCACATAAACACACTGGTGATCATGATAGTTTTCAGCCTGATGGCAATTTGACTTTTTATCTTAACCTGTAACTTCTATATCTGATCTCTTTAATACACTATTTCAAAGGGGGAAACAGAAGAGATGTGGAATATAGAAATCAGCTGGGTGAGGTAGCCTGACCTAGCTGACTCAGAGCCATTCTGGCTTTGGCCAAGTCCCTGTTCTGCTTACCACTAACTTTTCACATGGAGTTTTGGGGAGGATTGATTAGATAATGAACATATAGCTTCTAATAATGAGATGAAGGATTTGTGTTAGTTCTCCTTCTCCATAAGAAAGAAAAGATTATGGAGAAACCATCATCCAAAATTTACTGAGACCAAAACTCCCCACATAGCTGAAGGTCAGATTTTCAACAGTAATTACCYCTGACATAGCTGTGAACACAAGTGTAAGTTAAAGAATGAACAGATCACCTGCTATATAACTCACATACTTCATATAAAAAAGAAAGCACTAACACAAGGCTAGAAATTAGTGAAAATAAAATGGTAATCCAGGACCTCCGTTATAAGAGCATCTAGATTTTAAAGCTAACACTAAACGAGAAAGAGTTTTACAGGAAGAAAAAACGTGACACCACATAGTCTGGACCATTACTTAAATAACAAACTGTATTGTGGTGGAATGATACCTTTGCCTTTAAGAAAAGACCAAATTATGTTTGGTGTTTTTTTTTTTTTTTTTTAAATGCTGAAGATGGAACCCAGGGCCTCATGTATGCTAGGAAAGTGCTCTACCACTGAGCCACACCCCTAGCCCTGGTGTATTTATTTTATAATACTATTAAGTGTTTAAGATTTGAATACATGAGTAGTCATTTTTTGTTTATCTGGAAAAGGTTATCTTGTGGAACATCACGTTGATAGAATAAGGACATATTCGACTTTTTACTTCTCAATGACAATAAGAATATTTTCCTATAGGTTATTAAAAAAAATTTTCCTTCTTCAAAGAACAACAGTAAATGAAAAGAGTGAGGCAGTGATTTTGGTGGGTTCAGAAATTAATAATGAGTATATCATTGGTGTATTTTTATTTTATGAACTTTTCTTATGGGATGGAATTTTTTGTCTGTAGAACAAACATTACTTACAAGAGGCAAACAAACATTACTTCTTTTCCCAGTTCATTAAGCAAACTGATTGTATTGGTTCCACAGGCTGTTATTGGTGGGAATTTAGAAAATTTAGACTGAGAAAATTCAACCCTGTGGAGAAACAAATAAACACCAGGAAAAAAAATGGTTTGTTTCAGTATGTTTCTTACACTGACTATCTATAATCCATCAAATKATGGTGTTGAAATTATGATTTTTTGATAACCCAATTTAAAAATTAATTTTATTCTTGAGGTAGGTTGATGATTAATTGTATTCTATAAGGAAGGGAGGTTGATGGTGAGGATATTTGTATATTTATTTTGCTAACCAGATACGGAATCTGATTTGTCTCTGTTCTTGGCACATAGGAATTGGCAAGTTTTCCTTTTTAGGCCTGTTTCTTCATATGCTTTGAAAAAACTGGATCTATAAAGGATGGGGTTAAAATATAGCATTGTTTCCCCAGGAAAATTCTAGTTTATACCTTGTCATTTTATCTGGTTTAACATTTTTCTAGTACTATCATTAATGTTATATTAAAAATGGTGGGTTCTCCTAGGGTCTCATTCAGAGGGGTGTGAAAGGCAGGTGTAATAAGCAGAGCAGATAGTGACTCATATGTTCCTTGCAATGACAGCTTGCTCTCTTAGAAAATATARTTCTTCTTGGACATGAGCATACAGGGAGAGAGAACCTCTTCCATCTTGAGTAGTGATACAGGAAGTTCTTGATGTTCCTATCCCTACTGGACACTTTATTTTCCAAATACCAGCTGGTTGGGCTTTGGCCCATAAGTGCAAGGTACACAAAGTCTTCAGGCTACCAGTCTGCAGGATCAGTGGGAGTCACAGTAAATCATAGATTATGTGTAGATAAAATATATACAAGACACAGAAGGTGAGGAGTCTTGCTATAGTACATTTATAGCTAAATTTGAATACTCATGCTACAATTATTTTGTCATTTCATGTATAGTGTGAAATCTATACTGAAATATTTGTTCTACCCAGGTAGTTAGGATTATTTCAGAGTTAGCAGAGAAACACAACCTGAGTTATAGCCCTTATTTATTTTATATATCTTTCTGAAAACCAGGTGAAATGAAAAATTATATTTTGGGGAAGTTAAACTCATTATAGCCTGAAGCTATAATTTCTGTTTGGTTGTCAAATGAGTGAGGTTCAGTTTAAATCGTTAGTTGGTCTTCTGTTAACACTTAACAAATGATATTTAATAAACCTATTTGACACTAATTGAGTTTTAGAAGTGCAGTTTAATAAAAGTTTTCATTTCTCCAATGATCAGTGATCAGTGGGAAATATATTAAAGGCTTGTTGACATTTGCTATCCACTAGGGGTGATACCAGTAACCATGTGAAAAACAAAGACACACATTTACAGGAGCATCAGAAGCTCGTTCAGAAATTAGTAGTTATATTCAGAAAACTGGATGTGGCAAGGATGATTTAACACATGCAGCTGCAGAAAGTGCTSTGCCCTCCCTTGGTGGAGCCTGCCCTCTCATTTGGAATAAATGGCTGCTTTCCTCTGAATTAATTCAGCTCATTTATTTCATTCTTTTCTTGTACAAAAAGTGAAGCAAGAACCATTAATGTGTTAGATCTATAAATATTTGCAGAAGAATTTTGCAAATATTTAATGATGCTAGTCTTATGCCAGTATTATTAACTGCTACAAATAGAAAAATTAAGCAGATTCCAGCATTCCATTTATAGATTAAAGGAAAAAAATGGAAACTAATTCTGTTGAATATGAAATATTTGACACTATTGTAAATGCTATAATAAGTTTTGGTTAAATATTCAAACATAATGATGCAATTATTTGTTTTTGCAATAATCCAATTACATGTGTTGATGGAGGACTGAATCATAAAATAAATGATGTTCCTAAATTCAGAAGTCTGGAGCAAAAATTAATTGGAATTTATTGTGGAGTGCATGTAATTCATGATTATATCCAAATAAACTGATAGTCTACCTATTATTGGCATTCTACTAATTGTTGTGAAATTATAATTTTAAAAATTTATAAATATTTTGTGTATACAGATTAAGAATAACTGATTTTCAAAAGTGGCTGATGTTGAATTTTAAAAAATCCCAAATAGCACAAAACAACATATATCACTTCAGCATGAAAGTACATTCTCTCTTTGCCATCCATAAATCAGATTTTGGAAATGTTTGAAACTTTGAAGAATTTCTCTACATCTATATCAGCTTGAATGTCCTATAATCATATTGAACTTTTTTTTGTATCAGAGTACTCTAAATGTTGATTACATATTGTTGAAAATCAGTTGAGTGATGTCTTTGTCAAATTATTCATGAAATGCCAGAATGCTTACTTTTAAAGCTTTTTGTGAATTATAATTAATGAWAAAGAATTCTTGCAAAGAGTAAGAAACTGAAATTGTCTTCTCCATAAACATGGGAGGTACTGAACAAATTAAATCATGAAGCTTAAATGGTATACAAATTATAAAGCATAGAAATAGAGTATAGTAGCACACGCCTGTAATCCCAGCCACTTGGGGCCTAAGTCAGGAGGACTGAAAGTTTGAAGCCAGGCTCAGAGAATTAGAGACTTAGTGACTTAGTGAGACCTTGTCTCAAAAAAAAAAAGGGGACTGGAGATGTAGCTGAGTGGTAAAGAGCCCCTGGTTTCAATTAATCCCCAATACCAAACCTATAAAGCACATTAATAGTTAAGATTCTCATTAAAAAAGTCTTTGGATCTCAATTGAGGAATAATTGATTAACCTAGCAAATGATAAAAAAAAAATTAGAACTCTAATTTTGGTTGACCTTAGTGAAATCATGAATTTCCGCCTTAGAGGAGACAAAAATAATATTTAGTTAACTGTTCATTATATGCCAGCAACTTATTAGGTACTATCTTGCTAAATCTTCACAAGAGCTTTCTGAGATCCGTTAAAATGATCTATTTTCTAGATGAAGACATGAGGGGTTGGAAGTCAAGTCACTTATTGAAGATCATCTATCACTAATACATGGGATCTGAAACCAGGTGAGCTTGATATCAAGGTCCCCTCTTCCTTAACACTCTTTACTGCCTCTGTATAATCAGGTTTATATCAGTTTTATCTAAGAAAGCTCTTATAGCCAGAATGATTCACTGTTACAGCTTTTATTTGGCTTATGTTTCTTTCTGGAAACCAGTTGTAATGTAAAGTTATATTTTGTAGAGATTAAATTTATGAAAGCCTTGAGTTATAGTGTCTTCCAATAGTCAAACGGATGCAAATAAGATATCCTTGGAAATGTTGCAGCTCATGACTAATATGTAATACAGAAGGATTAAATTGTGAAGTGACGTCCTTTCAGTGTGAGATGGTTAATGGGTCTTTCACTTTAGAAATCTGCCAGCAGGAAAATATTCACATGGGAACCTGTGTGAATGCTCTGCCCTAAGGAGTAGTAGAAGCCAACATTGATAGCTGGATAATTACATGAGGATTACTTTTGCATTGCAAAAATTAAGGGGAAAAGAAGCCACTCACTCACCCAAACAAATGATCAAAAAAACCAGAGAATCTTAAACAGTGTGATGCACACTAATCTTTTTTTCCAAATCTGTCACCTATCAGAATTACCTGGGATGCATAAAATAGTACATATTCATATGTCCTCTAATAACTAGAATATCTGGATTCCTGATATATGGATCTGTGTTTTTTCAGAGCTTCCAGTGTGATTGATTGATTAGCTAGGGTTAGGAACTAACTATTGGGCCAGAATCCTGCAAGTACCTGGAAGCTTCTTCACTTTGTTAGTTGGGAAATTATTGCCCCGAGAAAGGGATTGAGTTCCTTAAAATTTTGTGTGTTCAGATTTTGGGKGTATTTAGAGAGACTTTCTGAGGTAACTTGATAATATATCCCTTTCCCTTCTTAGAGCAAGCAAACAAGCTGGGTGGCTTCTGTTTACCCACACTAGATAGAGTCTGTGCTTATGGAGAAGCATGTTCCCCTGACTTCTAGAAGAAAGGTTTGGGCAGCAGCAAAGGTTAGAATACTGAATATTACTTTTATAAATACATGAAAAAGTTATTGTCAAAGTTTGCCAGCTGCTGATTAATAAATTATTTAAGGYCAATCCACAAGTAACCAGGTATTTTCAGCCCATTGATAATAAATTATTTTGTCTAATAAAATATAGTAATTCCAGATTTTAGTATATTCTCTTAAATCATACATTAGATAATGGAAAAGGAAAGACTGTCTTTAGAGATACTGAACAATTTTACTGGCACCAACTCAGAGTAACCCAGTAATCATCCATTCTCTTCACCCTGACTCATATTAGTTTCCCTTATTGAATTTCTAGTCAGTTTCAACAGTCATGTTATGTTCCTCCTTATGGATGCATGTCGTCCTACCCAGTAATTTTCTATAATTTCCCCCCTGTTACCCATGGGAACCATTGTTATCATCATGATCAACAACAAATATTTATTGAGCACCTGCTATGTGTAGGCTATTGCACTAGATATAAAAATAGGCCTAAGTCATATTTCCTGTTGAGAATAGACTTTGATCTAGTTTGGGCAGTAGGTATTCACCAAGATCAAGTGCCAAGTGGCTAAGGACCAAACAGATGGTCAGAAAAGGACCAGGACTAAATAGATGCTATGTGAAATAGCTCAACTTGAGCCCCAAAGGAAAACTTATGACTTCAGTTAATAGAAATGCAGAGGCTATTGAGACATCAACAAAGACATAAGCAGGGATGATGGCAGTGTCTCTTTGAAGCAATGAATAGATGAGGTGGAGAATTTTTGGTTGTTTTTCTTAAGAATGATTTCTGAGCTAGAAGATTAGAATTGGGCTTCGGAGCTCTTGTCCTATGTTTTGAACAGGGAGTTTTAGATAGATGGCAATATTAATAATTCATGCATTTGATTTGATTGGCTTTTTATATCTTTACCACCTCCTTTAGAGTCTTATTACCAAGTAGCTTAAATATTAGAAAACTTAGAAGACAGCGACTATGATAAACTTGAGTTCAAACTGATCAGCGCTTGCTCTTTCAGTTCTAGAATCATAGAACTAGTCACTCATAGGGGCTTTTGAAAGTGTTATTCAATCCCTTAATTTTACATTATCTAGATTTATCTAACTCATCAGAAATTTATGAGCAGACCCATGCCAACAGTGTAGATTCATTGACTCCCACCCAGATTAAAGCTCTTTCTTTTGCCAGTGTGGCTTTTCTGGACTTATGAAATATTAGAAATTTTTTTCAATTGCTGAAGCTTATCTAATTTGAAAGAAATTAACTCAGTTTTCTTTCTAAATTTTAATCTTGATCTTGACTATAAATCAGTGGAGAGTAGATAGAGGAGACTTGTAGCAAGGTTYAGGACCCCAGGTTCTCCTGCAGAATCTCTTCTGCTGGAATTTGGTAACTCAGATAAGTACTATTCACATCTGTGGGTCTCTGGTACCTCCTCAGCTAACGCAGACAGTTTATTAGAAAAGCACTTAGGTACTGTGAAACTTTATTTGCTCTGAGTTTAATATTTTCCACACCAAATGGGTTACTTACCAGAAAGAAGAACTATGGTGCAACTGAGTATATGTAGTTGGAGAATTGTAAGATTTATTCTTACTACATGTTTCCTGAAGGGATTGGTTATTCTACTATTATTCAAGTTTTTCTTAAATCAGCAGTTGGACTTGGCATTAGTGAATGGGGCACCAATAAGTGTAACTATGAATTGTTAGCACAAAGAAAGTGGTTTTGCCTTCTTTCTCTGACTCTAGGCAGTTTCAGTAAGAAAGAAAAAAATCTGCAGAGATGGTTTTGACTAAAACTTGGCATTATGCTTTAAGTCTGTCCACAAAGATGCCCATTCATGATCAATGAATGCTTATTAAATTAGATGAATGGGTAGATCCCAGAGGGAATTTCATTGCCCAAATACAAAAGCATTGCTCTTCCATAGAAATTCTCACGTATACTGATAGGTCATGGCTTTCTGCAGTGAATTTAACTCTTTTACCCTCATAGGTTGTAGTCATCTTCTTCCATGAGTCATCTCATTTATTTAAAAGTTTAACCTTAGATTGTTTCCTTTAGGGAAAAGTTATGTGGCCCTTTCCTACTTGTCATGTTCACCTGGTGACTTTATTTTCTGTGTGATATTGACATTGGTAAGTTCATGTATGTTAATAATCCCRTCTTAATCAACAATTTTGAAACAAAAATTTTCCCTGATTTAAAGAGAAGAAAGGAAAAGGGTCAGTGGACAGATATTGGAGAAGCCCTTTGTCATTAAAAAATAGAGGCCCTAATACACAGGGTTGGGGAAGGGGATCTGTTCACAGCTGTCCTGGAGAAAACAGTCTTACTCCTAGATGACATATTTTATACTTACTATTTAAATCCACAAAAGCAAAATCCACAGTGGATTTGTAAGCAAATGGATAGTTGGAGCTAAATTATGGGAGACACATCTAGTAAGAGGAAATGCATTAGTTTAGATATAGTTTTCTCTGATGTAATGGAGAGATTCAAAAYAGAGTGGCTTAAATAGCAACTCATTTCTGTCTTACATGAGAGGCTGGCTACATGGTCCCTAGCTTCTGTGATGGCTCCACAAAGCTGAGGACATGGGCTTGTTCTAATTTGTTAATCTGCCACCCTCCATGCAGGGCTTCCTTCTGGTAATTCAAGATGGCTGTTCAGCTCTGGTCACCATATAGTCAGCAGGAAAAAGAAAAAGAAAGATCAGACATGTTCTTTCATGTTAAGGCATGACCCCAAAATTGAAGTATCATTTCAACTCACATCTAATTGGTCAAAATATGAACATATGGTTACATGTAGTTATATGTCAAAGATATATTATCTTTATTTTTTATTAGTTATAAAGATATATTATCTTTAGTTTGGTGACCATATGCCCAGCTAATAATCATTAGCATGTTAGAAAAGAAGAATTGCACTCTGTCAAAAGAAATAAAATTTGTTAAATCCTTTTTGGTGTACTTAACTATTTATGTTAATAACCATGGAAGCTGTAATAAGAGCAATATAACCTATTTATTGAATTTTACCTCTTTCATTACTGTATCATGTCTAATCTTACAACAGCTCAAGAGAAGCGGTTATCTTACAGAGAAGAAAATTGAGGCTCAAAAAAGATAATCAATTTGCCCAAAGACACACAGTGAGTAATTAGCATATTTGGAACTGTAGATACCTTTACTTATGCAYGCATTTCTCTAAAGATCAAGATAAAGAGACTAGGCTTTCTTTTGTAGAATGAAATTATATCTGGGGCCGGGTGCAATGGTGCACCTACAATCCCAGCGGCTCTGGAGGCAGAGGCAGGAGGATTGTGAGTTCAAAACTAGCCTCAGCAATGGGGAGGCACTAAGCAACCCAGTGAGATTCTGTCTCTAAACAAAATATAAAATAGGGTTGGGGATGTGGCTCAGTGATTGAGTACCCCTGGGTTCAGGGGTACACACATACAGAGAGAGAGAGAGAGAGAGAGAGAGAGAGAGAGAGAGAGAGAGAAAGGAAGAAGAAGAAGAAGAAGGAGAAGGAGGAAGAGAAGAGAAGAAAAGAAAGAAATTGCATCAGGAATGTGTTTGGGCTCAATCAAGATAGGTTATAATAATGGAGAAATGGAGAACAAGAAGGTGGTCTATGAGATGACTACATTAAGATTGTGGAGCCCAGAGCAAACTGAAGTGGAGAGACAACCATAAAATGACAAATGAAGGAGGTGTTACTCCTGAATCCTGGAGAGATCCAGTCAGAAACCACACCAGATATCTGAACAGAGAGACTTAATACAAAGAAGTGTTAAGTAGGAAGTAGATATAAAGTTAACTCAATAAGGAAAGCAATAACAAGTAAAAATCAAAGGTAGTGGCTCTCGATCAAGAGAGCTACCCCAGGGAACGTATGTCCATGTATGAGATGTTGTTGGTTGCCACAGCTTGATGGGGAAGTGTTATTGGTATTTAGGGATAAAGGACAGGTCTGCTGCTAAATGCCTAAAATATACAGGACAATTCCCCATAATAAAGAAACACCCAGCCTGAAGTGTCAGCRGTGCTGAGATTGAGAAAACTTCCTCTAAGATATCAGAAGGTGGTGACTACAGGAAGCAACCACTCCCAAAGTGTAGAAGATTTCTGAAGGGCCTTGCSCTGAAATGGAGCCCTCTGAGAGGGGATGCTGATTGAGTGGTCCCTCTYGGCATTGGTGTGGGCATGATGAGACTAGTTTAGCTAAATGTTTGAAAAACTGCAATCGGGGATCCAGCTGATCTAAGAGATAAGTTGGCACACTAGTATGTAATCAGGTTTATGTAATCATATGTACATACAAGCAGAGTGGAATGATGAAGAGTAATGCTCAATATTTCTAGCACTGAAAGAAATATTTCCCCAACTATTTAACTTGGGGAGAAAAAGATGAATTTAGTTTGACCATTGACCCCAAATGGAATCATCCAGGTAAAGAGTGGAAGATTGTGGTGGACAGGGAGTGATGATAAAGATCTGAATCTTCCACCCAGAGGTCACCTCCAACTGAAGTCCTGTGAGAAGATGAGATCAGCAAAGGAGAACAGTGTTGAACACATGATTGTCAGAATTGCCTGTTAAGGAACAGGCAGTACATATTTGACATCACATTCCTGGCATTATTATCTTGGAAGAGTTATTAGTATTTTTTTTTTTTTTAAGAAATGTTGCCATTCCAACCGTGACCATTATTGCTTCATAGTGTTGCTTCATTATGGCTTTTATCTTTAAGCTATTCTTTTGTGTGTGTGTGTGTGTGTGTGTGTGTGTGTGTGTGGTGCTGGGGATTGAACCCACGGCCTTGTACATATAAGGCAAGCACTTTACCAACTGAGCTGTATCCATAGCCCTTTAAGCTATGCTTAAACAAAATTTCTTCCCTGCTGCAATCAACCCACATTTTGTCTTTATGAATCTGTTTTGCTCATGTTTCTTTTAAACCAAAATGCAAGGATACACAAATTTCATGAGCTTTATAATTATACTTCCTCATTATATGAAGAAATTTTGTTAAAGGCGAAATTCTAACTGGTTTTATGTACATTACTGATAGAACAGAAAAGACACATTAGATAACATCTAAGAAAATTTTGACTAAATTTTGATAATAATACTTGGAAATTGGTAAATTATAACAAAGATACCATGTTTGCAAGATGCATCATGTAAATGTATAACATTATATGTAAATGTAATATAAAATATTACTAATAGGGAAAATTGTGTATTAGATATATGGCTACTCTGTAGTATCTTTGAAATCTTTCCATGATTCTAAAATAAAAAGTTTATTTTAAAAAGTAGATTTTAGGGGAGAGAAAACTAAGTTATAGATGAATAAAAGGGAAAACTTCTAGTATACTCTTGAATAGTAAGGTGACTACAGACAATGATAAGCTACTGTTTGTATTTAAAGGAAGAAGATAGGATTTAGGGAATTTTCACCAAAAAGAAATTATAAATTTTTGAAGGAGTCAGATAAGTTTACCCTAATTGAACATTACACAATATATGCATTTTGAAACTCACACTGAACCCCATACACACACACACACACACACACAAATTTTGTGTATCACTTTAAACTTAAAAAAAATTAAAACCAAATTTCGTGAATGGTTGAGGGTTAAAAACAAGACATCCTTCATTGCCTCCCTTCAGCCTTACCAGCTTTGTTCCTGTGTCCATCCTCTCTTCATTGTGATCATGTGCTTCAGGAAGGCCAGTCCATCCCCAGAGAGTAGGTCCTATGCTAGGGCTGTTGCAATAAAGTACCTCAAATTGTGTGGCTAAAAAAACCACAGAAACTTATTCTTTGACAGTTCAGGAAGGCATAAGTCATAAGCTCAAAGTATCAGCAGGGTCAGTTCCTTCTGGAGTTTCTGAGGGAGGGTTCATTCCCGTCTCTCTCCTGGTTTCTGGTGGATTCTAGCAATCCTTACATTCCTTGGCTTGTGGATGGCATTGCTGCAAACTCTGCTGCCTTCCCTGTGTCTCTGCTCTTCATCTCCTTTTTCTTTGTAATGACACTGTTCAATTCAGGATTCGCTCTAAATCCAATCACCTCAAGACCTTTAATTGCTGCTGCAAAGCCCAATTTCAAAACAACATCCCATTCACAGTTACTGGAGGTTACGACTTGGACATATCATTTGGGAGGCATGATTTTACCCACTATATCTAGATGGTTAAAGTTAATAGTAGTGGCCAGAGAAGGGAGAGGTAAGATTTAGAAGGAGCGAGAGCCCATGTGGTTCTACCTCTGAAGCCATCGGTTTTTATACTCCTTTTTCTGTGGGTTACAATGTCTTTATTTTGAGTTGAAAGCTTCTGCCACTTCCAACTCAAAGGAACTCAAAGGAAGCAGAAAAGATACATTATCTTTGTTTATGTACTTTTGAGAGAAAACTTAATGACCTCAATCAGACAGTGTTTGAATTTTCTCACAACCTACTATGACATTGAATAAAAATTAAATTTATGGAGCTACAAATCTCATCATCCTTAAAATATCCTGCTCAGTCTATAAAGGATTAAGTAAAATGTGGTCTCTTAAGCATGAACTAGTAGATTTTGATATAACAAATGCTTTAAGTTTATTCTTCAGTTTTCTGATACAAAGTTAACCTATCAAGAAGAAGCATAGAGAATAATGGGGCTCTATTCAAAGCAGTATCCAATTATCAGTTACTTGTGTTGGAATCAGTAATCTGCCACCTTCTGAATGTGATGTTTTAATGAGGACTCCTCTCTAAGAAGAATGAAAACAATTCATAATTATCTAAAGGATTCTAGCTCAGTTCAGATGCCAAATCTTTTTTTTTAACATTTATTTTTTAGTTGTAGATTGACACAATACCTTTATTTTTCTTATGTGGTGCTGAGGATCAAACCCAGTGCCTCACGCATGCTAGGCAAGCACTCTACCTCTGAGATACGGCCCCAGCCCAGATGTCCAGATACGGCCCCTGCTCCCCAGTGGAAGAGTCTCATTTTCCCTTGAGAGTGAGAAAGATGGAAGGATACAGAAATCTTTTTTTTTAATTAATATTTTTTTTTACACAAATGGAGTACAACTTTTCATTTCTCTGGTTTTACATGATGTAGAGTCATGTCATTTATGCAATCATACCTATACATAGGGTAATAATGTATATCCCATTCCACCATCTTCCCCCCACTCCCCTCCCTTCTCTCTCCTGTGCCCAATCCTAAGTTCCTCCATTCTCCCTCCCCTCCCCCACACCCACCATTATGGAGCAGCATCCACTTATCAGAGAAAGCTTTCTGCCTTTGTTTTGTGGGGGATTGACTTACTTTACTTAGCATAATATTCTCCAACTCCACCCATTTACCTGCAAATGCCATATTTTCATTCTTCTTTAAGGCCAAATAATATTCCATTGTGTATATACACCACTGTTTCTTTATCTATTCATCTATTGAAGGGTATCTAGGTTGGTCCTACAGTTTAGCTATTGTGAATTGAGCTGCTATAAACACTGAGGTGGCTGCATCAGTGTAATATGCTGATTTTAAAAATTTCTATAGGTATAGACTGAGGAATGGGATATTTGGGCCAAATGGTAGTTCCATTCCAAGTTTTCTAAGGAATCTTCATACTGCTTTCCAAAGTGGTGGCACCATTTTGTAATCCTATCATCAATAAATCAGTGTATATTTTCCCCCACATCCTTACCAGCACTTATTGTCACTTGAATTCTTGATAATTGCCATTCTGAGTGGAGTGTGATGAAATTTTGGAATAGTTTTGATTTACATTTCTCTAGTTGCTAAAGATGGTGAACATTTTTTCATATACTTGTTGATCAGTTGTATATCTTCTCTAAGTGTCTTCTCATTTCCTTAGTCCATTTATTGATTGGGTTATTTGGTTTTTTTCGGTGTTAAGTTTTTTGAGTTCTTTAAATTTCCTGGAGATTAGTGCTGTATGTGATGTGCTCGTGGTAAAGATTTTCTCTTATTCTGTAGGCTCTCTCTTCATGTTATTGACTATTTCCTTTGCTGGGAAGAAGCTTTTTAGTTTGAATCAATGGCATTTATTGATTCTTGATTTTATTTCTTGTGCTTTAGGAGTGAGAACTTTTTTATAATTTTTTAAATAAAT